TGCATATGACATTTTAATTATTCATATTGTTTATTTATGCCATCTTTCTTTTATGCTTGATCAGGCTTGTCTAAGTGGTCAATTTTATTACTCATTTTGAATCCCCAACTTCAGGCTTTCCTAATTCTTTCACAGTAAGGTTTTCTTCTTAATTTCTTTTGTTAGCTTTATTTCCTTCCTTCCTTCCTTCGGTTGAAAATTTAAACTTCATTTTTTCTAATATAAACAAGAGAATACTTGCATTTTCTGCTATGCTGTCTTAGCGCAATGCCAGCAGTTTATTTTCATTAAGTTCTGAATTTTATCCAAGACTATTAAAGAGAAATTATTGCAATAGGGAGAAAGGAACTATTGAAATAGGGGCAGGAAGACTATAACAATAGAAAGAATGCTCTGATCATAGGATTTTGCAAGCATCTCAAATCTCAAAGATGAGGTGGAAAGAGACTTTTTTAAAAAAATCCTTACCCGAGGATATGTTTTTCATTAATCCCAGAGAGAAGGAGAGGGAGAACATTGCCAAGAGAAAGAAACATTAATAGGTTGTCTCCCATAAGCTCCCCAACTGGGAACCAACCTGTGAACCCTTTGGTGCACAAGACAACGCTCTCACCAATAGAGCCTACCAGCCAGGGTGGGATATTTCTAAATAGGAAGAAGTAAGCAAGGCCAGAAAAATCTGAGTGTGAAGATGAGCAGATGGCATAGTGCGACAACTGATAGGGAAATGTCTTTTTATTTGTAGTCCATTTTCAAGAGAGATCATTGAGGGGGAACTATCCCACATTCCACTATAAGGGTCTATGGGGAAGCCTACAGTTTGGTCAAGTTAGAGGACATTTTATCCAGACCGGTCTGTGGGACAGATAAATTATTTATGAGACAAAGAGTGGAACTTGGAGGGTCTGGGTCTGTAAAGAAAGGGGTAATGCACAGATATTTTAGTCACAGAGGGAAAGGTAGTTTGCCATAGAGTAGGTTGGAGGGTTTAACTGTTAGTTTTCCAGGAACACAGGGTTCAAGTAAGTTGTCAGGGGCCAGGCACTCCATAGGCAACGGACAGGGAGATGGGTAGGGGATTGTTTATGTCACACTACTACCTCTCAGCATTACGTTCTGAGTGGGAATGTGCTCGCTGGCATTTGTGTGGGGGAGAATTACAATTGTACAGGAGGTCTATCCCAATAATACGGTCACAGTAGAAGCCATGGCCACAGTGCATCAGATAAGACTCAAGGACCCGGCGATAATGTTATATTTATCTCCCTCCTCCCTCGTCATTTTGCCCAGATCTCGAGTTGAACTCAGGTGCCCCTTCTCCCCACTGGACCAAGTATAGTAGTAACTAAGGTATCTACATCCAGCAAAGCCATAGTTTGTACCCCTTGTTTCCCTGAGGGCTCCACAAAGTTCCAACAGGGCACAGGGCCTGTGGTCCTTTGGGAGGACAGAGACAATGGCCCCACCTCTAAGATTTTTCCTCCCTCAAACCCTTGCAGAACATTTGGTCCTGTCCAAAGGTTCATAGAGACATCTGGTCTACGCCAAAAGTTTTTTGATATATGGTCGTGTCCAAAATGTCCATGCCAATCCATCTACCTAATGCCATGTTTCATTACTAGCTTCTGAAGCAAGAAGAGCTATTATTGGCAAAGCAGACACAATTATTGGCTCAATAAAACAATGCTATTTTTAATATGTTAATCCTGTAAGCCAAAATGTACAAATAACTGTTATGGGCCATTTAAACCCAGGGAACTTTTCTAAGTATGGATGTTTGGACAGGACCAATTATTAAGGGACAGGACCAATTATTAAGGATCATTCAGCACAGACCAAATATGCTCATGGATGTTCTGAATAATACCAAACATCAAGAGACTGTTGGCATGGATCAAATGTCTCTGTGGATCTTCTGGGCAGGACCAAATGTCCATTAATTTTTTTTTTTTTTAATCCTCACCCAAGGATATTTCCTACTGATTTTATCTATCTTTAAATGTGTGTGTGTTTTTTTTCAAATTTATTTTTAATGATTTCAGAGAGGAAGGGAGAGGAAGAAACATTAATGAGAGAGAATCATTGATGGGCTGCCTCCTGCACACCTCCCACTGGGGATTGAGCTCCCAACCTGGACACTTGCCCCTGACTGGAATCAAACCAGGGACTCTTCAGTCCGCAGGCTAATGCTCTATCCACTTAAGACAGGCTGGGCCTAAATATTTTTTTTTATTGATATAGATACATTGATAAGAAAGGAATATCAACATTGATTGGCTATCTCCCGCACCTCCCCCCACCCCACACCCGCCCCGCAACTGGAGATCAAGCCACAACCCCAGGCAAGTGCCCTCATTGGGAATCAAACTTGTGACCTCCTGGTGCATAGGTTAACATTCACCACTGAGCCACACTGTCCAGGCTTTTCTACCGATTTTAGAGAGGGAGAAAAACATTGATATGAGAGAGAAACATCAATCGGTTGCCTCTTATACACACCCGACAGGGGATCAAACCCACAACCTGGGTATGTGCCCTCACTGGGAATCAAACCCCCATACTTTTGGTGTATGGGATAACGCTCCAAACAACTAAGCTACCCAGCCTGTCTGCTAATTCTCAAAACAATTTAGATCTGGGTAAAAGGGAAGAGAGAGATAAATCAGGGCATGAAAGATAAGAACATTTTTTTGGTCTTCCCAAAGCCATTTCCTAGGCAGTAAGATTATCATTGCCTATACATCTGTTTTTGCTTTGAGAATCTCCTGATATAATAAACATGTCCACAAGACTGTGGATACCAGAAGCTGTTGTGTATAACCTTTATGGGTTTTGTTCTAGAATGCCTGAAACTGAGAGGACAATATCAAATATAAAAAATTTCTTTCAGGTAGGGATAATATTTTAACAGTAGCCAAGCTACCAGCTTAAGGCTAGACTTTTCCTACTTATCCCTTGAGGCTAATTGTATTGAATAGGGCTCAGTATTTTGAAGATTACTTTCTTTTGTGGTTCTTTATCATCTAGACACCTCATGCCAGTGTTTAAAAATAAAATGCATTTTAAGTGATGTCAGAGAGAATAAGCCATACATTTTAAGTATGTATTAGTATAGATAACATTTAACATAATTTTAAAAGTTAATGATTCTATAAATTATATTATAGAAGTTAAAAGTTCTTCTAACCAACATTTTTCAAGAACTGTGGCAGAGCTTGATGATGACAGGAATAACAGACTGAATCTCTATTGTTCTTGCTCTTTCTTAAACTCTGGATAAGTAACAGACTAGGAAATGTAGCTCAGAATATCCTAAAAAAATGCAGCCTCGGGAGATAGAAGCTGTTAAATTTAAAAAAAAAAAAAATACTTTATTGATTTTTTACAGAGAGGAAGGGAGAAGGATAGAGTTAGAAACATCGATGAGAGAGAAACATCAACCAGCCGCCCCCTACACACACCCCACCAGGGATGTGCCCGCAACCAAGGCACATGCCCCTGACTGGAATCGAACCTGGGACCCCTCAGTCCGCAGAACGATGCTCTATCCACTGAGCCAAACTGGTTTCGGCAAAGCTGTTAAATTTTAACTCGAGCTTTCTTTTTCTTTTTCTTAACAGAGAGGAAGAGAGAGGGATAGAGAGTTAGAAACATCGATGAGAGAGAATCATCGACCAGCTGCCTCTTGCACACTCACTACTGGGGATGTGCCCGCAACCAAGGTACATGCCCTTGACCGGAATCGAACGTGGGACCTTTCAGTCTGCAGGCCGACGCTCTACTACTGAGCCAAACCGGTCTCGGCTAACTCGAGCTTTCTATGGAGAGAATCAGATTTAAGAAGACCCAAGAGCTGGATGAGTAATCACACTTGATAATGCTGACACAAATGTTAGAAATAACAAACTAAGGTGCAATAGAGAGAGTCATATTGAAGTAATTGATGGAGTGGAAGTATATTCTGGTTAGGTTACATGCAGCAATAAAGGTTGAGAATTTACCAAGATCAGAAGATAGAACCTTTAGATAAATAAAAAGAATAGGAATTAATCGATGAATCAGGAAACATACTTCACTGCTGAAACTAAGGAGAATGAAAAGAAGCAGGTGAAAAGTTACAGGAAAAAAGTAGTTCAGAGCTGAAACCGGTTTGGCTCAATGGATAGAGCGTCGGCTTGGGAACTGAAGGTCCTGGGTTCGATTCCGGTCAAGGGCATGTACCTTGGTTGCGGGCATATTCCCAGTAGGGGGTGTGCAAGAGGCAGCTGATGGATGACTCTCTCCCACCTATGTTTCTAACTCTCTATCTCTCTCCCTTCATCTCTGTACAAAATCAATAAAATATATTTTTTAAAAAGTAGTTCAGAATGAAGAAAAAAATTTCACAATAGCACGGGAATTTCATAGAGAAACAAGTATGATCAACCAGAGTGAGTATGAGGTTCTGGAAAAAGAGGAATGTCCACAAAAGTGACCTAACCTCGTCCAGCCACAATAATTCTGTGTTTCTTAAAAGCTACGGGGTTTCACACGTTCCTTGCTCAAGCTCCAAATTTCTACAATGTGGTCTCTAAAGAGGAAGGAGGACACGAATGTAAATTGAAATGTCCCACATTCTGCACTTACCACCTCCCCTTTGGCTTAAGGGATGCTTTTATTTATAAAAAGACTATAGAATGATAAAAATAAAGATAGACATTATGTCACAACAGAATTTTATAGGACAGTTTAATTAAATTGTAATCATCAATGCAACAGCTGCCTAAATTTCATTCAGATAGTAAAAAAATGATAAGATGATTTAAAGATGATTCAATCAAAATTTTACAAGCTAATTTATCAAGAGTGAAAATAGAAGACTATTAAAAATAGCGAAAAAGATAACATGTTATAGTGCTTAATGTTTCTGTAACTGTTGGTAAGGCTTACATCTAAATCTGATACAGAATTCTTAATGGCACTGAAACAGTTCTTTCGCAGCCACGTGGCATACATGGGCACTATGAGTCTGGAAGAGACTGGCTGTGGGTGCCACTTCTTGTCTTCAGCTGTGACTGTGCAATGTCAGCAAGTGCGCTTTGAATCTTTTCTAGAAGCATGTCCCCTCGATAAACAACATCCTCCAGACATGTAGCCGCCTCGTGGTTTTCCTCTTCTAGCTTATACAAGCTTGCAGCCTTTAGAAGACACAAATTTAAAAATCTTTTGAGAAATGAAAAAGTTGGAGATTATTAAGAGCTGAGAAACAAAGAAAACTGTATTTACTTTTAAATCTGAATAACTATGCAGGCATTGTAATGGAGCTTTCAATGGCAAAAATTCTAAAATCAGGGAACTATTAAAAGTTTTCCTTGTGTGAATTATTTAAAACAATAAACTTTGATTAGAGATCTATGGATGTCTTGTCTATATGACTCCCTTCCACACTGTTTTTGAACACTACTATTCTACTCCACATCCAGAATGCCATCCTCCTCTCATTCTTTGCTAGGTAAAGAGTCAAACTAAGAAAAATAGGAAGAGTACTTCTAACTCAAAATTGGAAAACTATATATACACTAGAGGTCTAGTGCATGAAATTCGTGCATGGGTAGGGTCCCTACACCTGGCCGGTGATCAGGACTAATCTGTGGGGTGACCAGAGGGACAATCGGAGGCGCCCCTGCTGGCACCCACCTTGGCTGGCTGGGGCCTGTGGGCTTGGGGCTGCTCCTGCATTAAGCATCTGTCCCCTGGTGGTCAGTGCAGGTCATAGCAACTGATCATTCTGCTGTTTGGTCAATTTGCTTATTAGGCTTTCATGATATAGGCTATTCAGTGGAGACTACATTAATCTACAACGAATGAAACTCCCACTTTAAAATTCAATCTTAAACTTTAAATATTACAACGAATGATATTAAATCTATCTCCTTTAATTCGGAATTCCCTATTAGCAAAGTACTCAAAGGGAAAGGGATTTTTACCTGTAAAGCAGCTGTAGATTCTTCACTTGGCAAGGAATCTATCAAAACATCAATGTCTTTTGCTGTTCGTGCAATCAGTGCAGCAAAAAGCTGGGCATATTCTAGAGAAGGACACTACTAATTTAGGATATTAGAGAACCTTAAGTTTTCAAAAACAGAAACTACATATTAAGTTAACGAAACCAGAAAACTTAATATATTAACTTTTCTATACTACACTTCTAATGACTAAAGTGTAATTTTAACACATCAGTCCGATTACATGTTTAAGAATCACTCTTAATATTAACTCAAATTGGGAATTAACCATAATATAGATTCCTTATTAGGGCAATATGGTGGTCACTTGAATAAAGAAATCTGTAAGTGGAATGTCTTCCCTATTAAGATCCCAGAAGTGCCCTTGCAGGTTGGCTCAATGGATAGAGCATTAGCACCCCCTGGACTGAAGGGTTCAGAGTTCAATTCTGGTCAAGGGCACATGGTTGCAAACTTGATCCCCGGCTCTGATTGGGGTGCGTACAGGAGCAAAGCAATTGATGTGTCTCTCTCCCTCCCTTCTACTCTCTCTAAATTCCTCAGGTGAGGATTAACAAAAATACAAACAAACAAAAATAAAGTTGATTTCTAAAAAAAAAACCCCAAAAAACCAGAAGTAAAATTCAGTTCAATTCCTACAATTTTTCCTCTAGGAATAACAATGTTATTCGACATAAAGAGAATTATGATGTGTTATGTCAAATTGATTATAACAAACTAATTTCCTTTATGACAAAGCTTACAATATTCTCACACAATATTTTTGAAAGCCACAAATAAGCCACATTTCTCAATAAATCTAATTTTAAAAGATTGTAAGTAATATGAGCATCAAACTTAAGAGAAAACGAAGTACCTTCTGTAGGATTCGCTGGCTGATCTTTATTAATCGCCGTCTGAATGTTACTGAAAGAGGCTGGAGGACCACACTGCTGCAACACTCCAATGGCATTACAAAACTGATCTGCAAGCTTGAAGCCAAAGGAAACACGTCAAAGTTAGGAAGGACTGATCAAACTTAAGGATTTTATTTGTAATGCAACAACAATAAATTTCTATTAAATGTTCTCCGAGCAAGGGAATAAAACGACAGAAGTAATTTTGGATAAAATTAGCCAGTTATTAACAGCGATAAAATGTTTTGACCATTCAAAGAAATTACGTTTGGTAGCAATCTACTTGAAACGGATAAAACGAAATACAAAATAATTTTTCTTTTCTTCCCAAGGTAATAAAATGGTAAGAGAAATACATGCCAATACTTGTTGCAAGCACAAGTAACAACTTTTTTGGGGGAGTAGTAGGAAAAAGCAAATGTGACTGGCAAATATCTAAGTATAGCTCCAAGGTAAATAAAATAGTATGTGCAACTCATGGACAAATATTGATCCTTTTTTTGAGATCAGTGTAGTTACAAGTCTAAAGAAATAGTGGGAAAACGACAGTACCTAAATATTTAGAACTGTTTTTCTTCATGACTCGAGTTTTCAAACTCTTGGTACTCAAACTATTCCATAAGCAGTTGTGAGGATTTAGAATACTAATTCTTTACCAGCTCAAACTCCTGCCTCCCCATCAACTTCTATTAATAGTCCTGACCTCTCAAATCTCAATTCCTTATTTTCAATCTGGGAATAAGCATTTCCACTAAATTTCTCTGCCATTATTTGAATGACAGAACTCAATGTCAACTGCTTCCTTTAACATGTCATTTGTATTGCGATTCTCCTAGTCAACCGTACAACTTCAGGTTCGTCCTTTCCTTTCTCCATCTTCACATCCTGCTAATACTACGAACCTTACCCTTTTCCTCTCTCATCACTGCTGCTTTGTTAGTTCAACCAATTACCTCCCATCAGAATTGTTACAATAGCCTTCTTGCTGCTTTCTAGTTCACTATGGTATTTTGTCCCGCTTCAGCATTTTGAGCTCACCCAGCATGGGCTTCAAGATAAATCTCCAATTCTTCAGGCTGTTTCAAAGCTTTCAATAATCCAAGTCAATTCTACTTATTCATTTCTCTACTGCTCCTTCATATAGACCTGATTAGTGATAAACTAATTCCTGACTACGCTGCTTCTGCTCACATTTTACAAATGTAATAGAGCAGTAGTAAGTGCTCAGAAACTGTACAAACATGGATTCTAATTCTGGTTCTAGCAATTCGGTTAGTGTTTTTTTAAATTTTAAAATCTGGAACATTCTCACATTATAGCACTGTTATGAGTAATAGAGAAAACACAAAAAATATTCAACATAGTGGCTATCAGTTCTGTGCTTCAAAAGCTCTCAGATCTATTTATTCAACAATGTTATCATAGATCAATTTTATGACATGTACTGTATATGTATAAACATGACAAAGATACAAAGAACTAGTATCTTTGAGAGTTTCTGCCCTTAAAGAGTTCTTAGAGTGTAAAACAAATGTTATCTTGGTGGGATTATGAATGAATTTTTGAAACAAGAAGCTTAACATTTTTATAAAATTACATAGACATATAAAACTCATTAAAAAACAAAAACATTTTAATTTTACAAATAATTACAATTTAGATGAATGCTAAGAAGATTCCCTCTTTTTTAGGGAATTTACTCTATATTCCAATTTACTTCAGCACTTATAGCTAAAGCACTCCATTCATTATACCTCCCTAAGCACATACTGTTTTTGCATTATTTAAAATGTCTCTTGCGTATACATCTTTCTAACCAGACTGTAAACTCTGTAAATACCTCTGTAAATTTAAGTGCTTATATACATTGCAGGCACTCAATACTACTAAACCTAAAGGTTTCTCTCCAAAATCCAATAACCAGCATGCCAACCCTAGAGTTAAGGCCGTATTAACTTTGTTTTCGCTCTCCTTCTGGTTACAAGACAGGTATAAATATGGAACATTTCCCTGAATATCATTGCTATCCAAAGCATCTTTACGACTGGATTTTGTAAAACCTCAAAGGAGTATCTCCCTGAGGGAGGCTGTCTGGCAGCCCAGGAAAGTCACCACTAGGGAGAATTTATCTTGGTGAATTCATCAACATTTAAGGGCTAGTCCTCTCTACACACACACACAGTAGATCAGTCTCTCACAAGCAGATGCACAAAAGCTGATGCAACAAGAATGTCAACTTTTTAGCAACATATGTGAAAACACTGGCAAGGGACCAGGTACTTGCGCTTTCCAATCAACACATTCTCTCTCTTTCCATAGAATCTGACCTGGAACATCCAATTATAAACAGAACGACAATGAGAAATATAACTCTCAATAGGAAACTAACGATTAATGGTAATAAGTATATGAGTCCTATGGTTTGCACAGATGTTCCACCTGGGCGTAACAGGAACAATAATCAGAAGGATGAAAGTAAGGGGAAGGGGGGCTCCTTACAAGATAAGCTATGCCCTTCAATAGGAGGTCGACTTTTTGGGAGATACTAAAGAAGACTTAAATAAATGGAAATATACGAGGAATAGAAAAATTCTACTTTAAGATGTCACTTTCGCCCTAGCCGGTTTGGCTCAGTGGGCAGAGCATCCACTTGCAGACTGAAAGGTCCCAGGTTCGATTCTAGTCAAGGGCACAGGCCTGGGCTGTGAGCTTGACACCCCCCCCCCCCAGTGGGGGGCGTGCAGGAGGCAGGCAATCAATGATTCTCATCATTGATGTTTCTCTCTCTCTCTCCCTTCCTCTCTGAAATCAATAAAAATGTATTTTAAAATATTAAAAAAAGATGTCACTTTCCCCAAAAATTGTTTTATGCTTGGAGAGAAGCCAAGACATGGGGCGAGATCCTTGGTCTATATATAGGAACCAACTAAGATGAAACAAAACTTCTCACCTCCCCATCACTCCCGCCCCAACATGAACGTTGTGGCAAAGGATGAACTGGGCTATCGGCTATTGATCCGATCACCAAAAGCACAGGTTCTCATTGACTGGCCGGGGGAAGAGCTGCTGCCACTCCTCCTCTCCTACCGAACCAGAAGAGATCTCCCAGAAGAGATCTCCCCGTGTTTCCCCGAAAATGAGACATCCTCCGAAAATAAGACCTACTTACAGGTTTCCTTCTGAGTGAAATATAAGGCATCCCCCCGAAAATAAGCCCCCCTCCCAGGCTAAACATGAGAGATTGGTCCACTGATTCTGAAAGAAATGGAGTCACAAGAAATTCACCAGGAAATTCAGGAATTGGATTATGATGATGTCCCAGAAGATGATGACATGATTGTCATTGAATAAATGAGTAAATTCTTGATACTGTAGGATTCACAGTTTGTCTGGTTTGTGTTGACAACTCCCGTACTACCATACCATATACAGGTAATAAATTTCCTTTATTTTCATTTAATAATAAATGTGTACCGTATTCTTCTTCATGGAAAAATAAGACATCCCCTGAAAATAAGACCTACGCATCTTTGGGAGCAAAAATTAATATAAGACACTGTCTTATTCTCGGGGAAACAGGGTATGAGCATCACCGACAAAACCGTCTGTTCCCAGAGACGGGGACGGGCCGGGGAGTCCGAGCCGGACGCAGACCCTCCAGCGGAAGAGGCCGCGCCGCCCCCTCCCCGCCCCCCCTCCCCCCGCCGCGGAGACCGCCGCCCCCGCCGCTTCCGGCAGAAGCTGTCCCGGTCCGCCCTCCACTCGCCGGCGGCGCCGCGGCTCGAGCCCCGTCCCCTCCCTCGCTTTGCCTGGAAAAGGGGAAGACGGAGACGAATGGAGTGAAATCGCTCACCGAGTTGACGGCGTCCTGCAGCTGCGTGAGCCGGTCCGCCATGTTTCCCTCCTCAGCGAGAGGACGCCGCGGCAGCGGGTACGCGATTGGGCAGCGCTGGGACGCGTCATGGCCAATCACAGGGCCGCGTTCTGGGAAGGGGCGGGGTCAAGCACAGCTTCCCAGGTAGGGCTGCGCTGCCGCTGAGCTCCATCCTTCAGACCGGCTCCACCTGGGAGCGGCCTCTGCGGCGGCTGTTTTCAATCACTTGGGGGGCTCTCTGGGGCCCCCTGGCTTTGGGAGCTAACATGCTTGACTGTTTTCCAGGCTACTAGGTAGTAAACACTTTGCGGAGATTAAGTTCTGCGGTTTTTCAACGTTAGGTTTCCCTACCCTCCCATGTATTTCTTTTTAATATATATTATATGTAATTGATTTCAAAGAAAATGTTCTCCTCCCATCCCCAGCTGAGCGTTACCTTATTTATTGATTGCCTGCCATGTGCCAGAAGTCTGTTAGGTGCTAGATTTGCAAACACAAATAAGCTAGACTCACCAGGAAGGTTTTGCAGTTACCCAAGAATGTGTAGGTGTTGACCTTGATAATAGAAGATAAGGCTATTTAAAAAAAAATTATATATATATATATATATATATATATATATATATATATATAATCGATTTCAGAGAGGAAGGGAGAAGGAGAGAGAAATAGAAACAGCAATGATGAGAAAGAACCATCCATCGGCTGCCTCCTGCATGTCCCTTACTGGGGACTGAGCCCGCAACCCAGGCATGTGTCCTGATTGGGAATCGAACCATGACCTGCAGGTTCATGGGTTGATGCTCAACCACTGAACCATCCTGGCAGGGCAAGAAAGGCTAATTTAAAAAAATTATATATATATATATATATATATATATAAAATTGACTCTTTTCCAGAGAGGAAGAGAGAGGGATAGAGAGTTAGAAACATCGATGAGAGAGAATCATAGATCAGCTGCCTCCTGCACACCCTCTACTGGGGATGTGCCCGCAACCAAGATACATGCCCTTGACTGTAATCAAACCCGGGACTTTCAGTCCACAGGCGGACACTCCATCCACCAAGCCAAACCGGTTTCGGCAAGAAAGGCTAATTTTGAAGGAAAAATTAACGTGGATTGATGACTGCTTGGACATAGAGGGATGAATGAGAAAATCCACTAAAAGAGAATACTGAGTTTTGTAACCTGATTGAAAAGAACTGAGGTGCCTGGGGTAGAGCAGCCATTTCAAGACCACTCATGTTATGACACAGCTTTTGTTCTGCCATTCATTATCTTCCTTGCAGGCTTTCAGTAGCTCCACAGAGAGCTCAAGTTTGTGTCCAGCCATCTCTGACTGGTTTTCAGGTTCAGTCTTCTTGGATGAAATATATTTTAAAAAAAAAGCATATGGTTGGTATTTGCTTATTAGATTACTTGCAACCTCTGACTATACCCTACTGTTTCACACTTCTAAGCACGCTGTACTAGTATAGACACATATAATTCTCCCTTCCTTGTATGAAATGCCCGCACTTCCATCCTTACCTCCATGTTGTCCCTTTGTGGGTCACTCAACTTTCAAACTGTATTTTAAATATCTCCTTTATAAAACTTTCCCTTGAACTCTAGTTAATTGCTCCCAATCTTTATCACAACTGTTCCTTAGCATACTGAGGTGTAAGTCATACGTTACTCTGATTCACTCAGCACTATGAAATACTTGGGGGCAGGTAATGTATTTTAATTGTTTCCATATTTCCAATACTTAGCACCAAGCTTATAGCCTGGCACACAGAAACCACTGAATAATATTGTTTATGGGCTAAATGAATGAACTGCCCAGCATAATGATTTCCATATAAGAGTTAGGAAATAAACATTTATTGAAATTAATAAAAACAGTCAAAGTAATGTAAGTTGCTACCCACAAGAAGAACATGAATTTCAAAATACAGAGCGAATAGAGTGGAATAGGCTAAATGGGCAAGCTTCATAGCGGTCTTTTCCTGCCTTACCCCTGCTGTCATCTCCATCCAAGATGTGTTGAGTTCTCCTCTCTCTCTCCCTCCCTTCCTTCCTCTCTTTTCTAGCCCTTAAGCAGATTTTTAAAAAATACATTTTATTGATTTTTTACAGAGAGGAGGAGAGAGGGATAGAGAGCTAGAAACATCGATGAAAGAGAAACATCGACCAGCTGCCTCCTGCACACCCCCCCACCGGTGATGTGCCCGCAACCAATGTACATGCCCTGACCGGAATCGAACCTGGGATCTTTCAGTCTGCAAACAGACGCTCTACCACTGAGCCAAACCAGCTTCAGCCTGAAAGCAGATTTTAAGGCTCTAGTTATCTATATCTTGGATTAGGGAAACTTCTCAGTTTTTGAGTTTCCTTTAAATTCATAGAAATAACAAACTTATCTGCAAAGCTGCTGAGCCCTTTTGCTCAGGTGTCCACTGGAACTGAGCAAGGGGCCCCAGGCAATCATCTTCCCAAACTCTCACAGTCTTTCAGAATCAAGATAACAAGACCCTCTTATTATTGCTGATATACTGCTGTCATCAGCTGTCCTCTGCAGGCATGGGACACTGCAATACGAAGGAATAGAGGAGAGAGACTAGGGTTAGTTCAGGGAACTGAAATTAACTCAGTGTGGCCAGCATAGAAGAGTTTCCGTTTATTTGCAGCAGAACCCGCACAGATAGACAGAGCTATATCATGAAAGCATTGTGTAATACTCAGGAATATGGACTGTTATCCTGAATGCTTTTATAAGAAAACTTTTAAAACTATACATATCTTCTCAAAAATATATTTTTTATTCAAAAGCAATACATGTTCAAATACATATTTTTTTTTACAAAGAAGACGTGCAAAGAAAATCATCCTTAATCCCATCACCTTTATAATTTTTAACATTTTGACACATTTTTTTCAACCTTTCTTTAATGAATGTAAGCATGAATGCACATTTAAATGAAAACAAGTAAGGCTTATACTCTATATATTTATTACTTTTTAACTTGCCTTTTTATAAACACTTCACCATCAGTTGCCTTTAAAATGTGATTTTTGAAGGGCTACATAGTATTTTATTATATGCATGTATTATAGGTTATTTAATTCCTTGTTGTTGGGCATTTAGGGTGTTTTTGTTTTTTCTACTGTAAATAACATCTTCACGAACAGTTTTGTACACTAATTTTAAACATCTAATTTTTGGTACATATTTATAGGCTTAAATCTAAAAGTGGAATTATCATACCAAAGCTATGAATATTTTAAAGATTTTTGATGCAGATGATGCTTTAAAAAGTTGTTTCAAGTTACACTCCTTCTAGTCCTATGGTAGAATGTCTATTTCTCAGCTCTTTCATCCTCACTGAAAGTTCTCATTCTTTTAAAATATTTACAGCTTATTTTCTTAATTTGATTTCTTTCTTACTAGTGAGTTTGAACTTCTTTCATGTTTTTATTAGCCACTTATATTTCTTTCTTTGTTTGTGTGTGAAATTTGCTATTCATGTCCTTTGCTAATTTTTATCTTTTTTCATCAGCTTGACTTTACAAATTGTTTAGGGTTTTTTGTTTTTTTTTGTTATTTATTTTTTTTTTTTTTTACTTTCATAAAATCTAAATTTTTAAATAGCCAGACCTACCAATCTTTCTCTTATGGTTTCCTTTTTTTCTTTTTTTATTTACAAAATTCCTCCCAGACTCCAAATGATTTTGCTCAAATAAATTCTTAAAATTAAAAAAAAAGATAAGCCATTCTGAGATCAGTTTTCTTAAAAAACACACACACACACATATTTCTTGTAGCTGTTATGATTTTATTTATTACTCTGGGCTTGAATTTTGACAGTGTGAGAGTTCTAAGCCTCTCTCTCCACTATCAGAACACAATTTATTGTGTAATCCACCGCTGATTTAAATGCTGCCTTTATCCTAATAGCTCCTGTCATCTTCCTGGGATTCACCTCCTGACAGTTGTTACAGGAATGGGGTGGCATGTGGGAGAGAGAATAAATATCCTAGCGAATAGACAGTGCTACCAAGGTGTGAAAATTTAGATCAGGCAGACAGAGAACATACGGCATTTGCTATAGATTTTTAGATTAGTAATGGATTAAGTACAAACGTATGCAATTTTCAAGATAGTTGCTCATTAAAATAGATAAATGAACATTTTTAATGGCAGGAAAAGGAAATAACTTGTCTGTAAATCCAGTTCCACGCGCGCGAGCCACCTGTCACAGGGACGACTGCCCTTTCGACAGCAGCACTCAGGTATGAGACCTGAGAGAGGAAGGAAGCTCAGAGGGAGGTCTTGAGTCTTCCAGGATATTTTGCTTAGAGAAAACGAAACTGTATTGTAAAACACGGTGCTCCTCATCAGCGCAGTAACCACTGCAGAAGCAGCATGACCCGCTCATTTTTATACTGACGCCCGCCTGGGCCATCTCAAGGGGAAGGCTGGGGGCCTGGGCTGGAGGGCTGGGCTGGGGGAGTTAATTTTGCATTCTGAGCACCAGATTCCTCCTTTTTATTTTCTTTTTGCAAAAAGACCGTTAAGGAGGCCAGGAACGTTAGGCCGCAACACAGTTGCTCGTACTGTAACGGTGGTTTTCGTAAATGGGAAAGATAAAAAAGGGAGAAGTGCAGGTTACACCACACAACTTCCTGGGGTCTCTCCTCTGGCCCTCTGGGGCTGAGATCCTGGGAACGCCGGCAGCTCCGAGGCCGCCTCGCGCCACTAGGGGGCGCGCCCTCCCTGGAAACCTCCCTCGCCGCCCCGCCCGGGGCCCCGGGGCGGTGACGTAAAGGGGCGGGGCGGGGCCGCGCTGCCCGGCGGCGGCGGCGGCGGCGGCGGCGGCGGCGGCGGCGGAGGGCGATCGCCTTCGGAGGGAACCTCTGGCGGCGGCGGCGGGGGAGTGCGGCCGAGGTCGCTGGCCAGCCCCGCGGCCCTGGCCGGTGTGCAGCACGAGCTCCTGGCGGGCGATGGCGCCGAGCGCGAGCGCCCCGGGGTAGCGAGGCCGAGGCCCCGGGGCCCCCAGCGCGCCGCTCGCCGGCACCGGCGCTGGCTCCGCCGCCGGGCCCGGGCGGCGATGGGGCTCCTGCGGCTGATGGCGCTGGCGGCGCTGGCATCGCAGCCCGGCGTGGCTGGGGGCGCCGAGGCCGCGGGGAACGCCAGCAGCGCGGGTAAGGTCGGGCGCCTCCCTTCTTCTGCACCCAGGGGCGTGCGCCTGGCTTTGCGAGGTCGAGGTCCACCCCCGGGGCCGTGCGCCCGGCGGCCGAGGCGGCGGGCTCAGAGCCGGCAGGAAGGGGTCAGGGTCCTTCCGTGCAGGAGGAAATGAGTTCCCTTTGCTCAGGGGGCGTCCTCACTCGGGCTGTGGACCTGGGGAGAGATGCATGACGCTCTCTGGTTCACGCACATTCCTCGGGGAGCAGCCATGTTTGCGGGTTTAATTTGACACTTGACAGCACCTCCTGGCTCCCGAGCGGCGTGGCCGAGCTGGGGGGTTAGGGGGATGGAGAGGTGGGGTGGGAGGGTGGAGAGGGGTGTCTGCTGTCAGGGGTGCAGAACCGAGGGTTTTTCCTATTGGCGGGGTCCACGGAGTTGGAGAGGAAAAGCGAACTCAGATCGGGCTTGTTAGATAGGAGGTCATGTGCATGGCTGAATGGGTTTTATAAGTAATTCGTGGTCTGTTCACATATTAGACACTGTGAACAGCGCTAACTGTGCCAGGCTGGTCATCACGTGCATTCCCCGTGAGGCCGGGCACGTTCTTAGTCTTGTGTGGAGCGTCTAAGAGACGACTGACAGTTCTGAGACATAGTATTTCCTGAATGATGTGATTGTGCTTCTAAATACTTCTCTTGTGCAGACTGGGTTCTAGAATCTTTGCCTAGGACTTGAGGCCAGAGCTGAAAAGGGCAAGTTATATTTTTGCAGGGGAAAAAAAAAATAGCCTTTCACTGTAATGCAGACTGTGCCAGGTGCTTTTCATGGCTGTGTGTGTGTGTGTGTTTAAAATACATTTTATTGGTTTCAGAGAGGAAGGAAGAGGGAGACATAGGAACATCAATGATCAGAGTCATTGATCAGCTGCCTCCTGCATGCCCCCTGCTGGGGATCAAGCGGGCAACCCCTTGACCGGAATTGAACCTGGGACCCTTCAGTCCACAGGTGGAGGCTCTATTCACTGAGCCAAATCGGCCAGAGCAGCGTGTTGTTTTTTGTTTTTAATCCTCACCCGAGGATATTTCCCCATGGATTTTTAGAGACCATGGAAGAGAGAGGGAAAGACAGAGAAATATCAATGTGAGAGAAATACATCTGTGGGTTCGAGCACCATGCCTTTGACTGGAATCAGACTCAGGACCCTTCTAGGCAGGCAGACGAGGCTCTATCCACTGAGCCAAACCGGCTAGGGCATGGCGGTGTTTTTTAATCCTTCTGACCCTGTAATCACAGTCCTCACTCGGCAGAGGTGGGAACTGAGTGATGATGCCCACCACACAAGCATACAGCTCTAGGGCCACAGGCAGCATCTGAACCCAAGTATGTCTTGCAGCAAATTTCCTGGTCCTTCCACTTCAACACAACTGCCCCGAATAATAAGAGTATTTTACTCAGTTTGGTGCTTTGCACTGAATTCTGCCAGGAATTCTCATTTCTCAGAATAGCTTTCTGACGCAGGTGGAGGAGATGCTGCTCCGTTTCAATAGGTGAAGCGTTTGAGAGACTGAGTTTGCAGTTGACCCGGGAGGGCTGTGACCCAGAACTAGTTTCATTTCTAGTTCTGCGCCTTAGTATCTAATAACATCTAGACCTTTTTACACAGAAGTTGAGAAACCTGAGTAATCGAGAAATGACTATTCTTCAGTAGTCATCTCTTGACTCTTCCTGTGATGTCAGCACTGATATTTCCTCTACCGTGAGACTCTTTGCCTTGCAGTAGCACTGTTGTTCCGTGCGGGAGGACAACATGTGGGAACTTAACTTCTGGGTGATAATAAAAGCTGATGTGCCCAAGCCGGTTCGGTTCATGGATACAGCCTCTGCCGATGGACTGAAGGGTCTCGGGTTCGATTCTGGTCAAGGGCATGTACTAAGTAAGGTTGCAGCCTCAATCCCTGGGAGGCAGTCAATCAAGGTGTCTCTCTTACATTGGTGTTTCTCTCTGTCTCTCCCCCTCCCTTCCATGCTCTCTAAAATTCAATGGAAAAAATATCCTCCAGGGCCGGTTTGGCTTAATGGATAGAGCGTCAACCTGTGGACTGGGGGTCTCGGGTTCAATTCCGGTCAAGGGCACATGCCCAGGTTGCGAGCTTGGTCCCCAGTTGGGGAGCGCTCAGGAGGCAGCCAATCAATGATTCTCTCATCATTGATATTTCTCTCTCTCTCTCCCTCTTCCTTCCTCTCTGAAATCAATAAAAAATGTTTAAAAAATATCTATGGGTGAAGATTAACAAAACTAAAACAAGCTGATGTTCTCCACATCTGTCAGATAGAAACTTACAAAGTCTTAGTTAAGACTTGCAGTCTCCTCATTTGTTTCTATTTGAGGACTCAACTAACTGGATAACCTGAAGGAATCAAGCAACTGCTCTAACTTAGAGGACTTCCCCATCTTTCCCAGGAAAAGCTAACTTGCACCACAGGAGTAATGGCTCGAAAGCCAAATAAACCTTTGAAGGTGGCAGGTAAAGTTTCCAGAATGAGTGAGGTGCTTTTAGACAGTGTTTAAACACGTTTAAACAGTGTTCCCTTGTTCTGAGGTTCCAGTTCTCTGCTGCCTTTAATGTCCGTTGTTATTGTTTGTTTCATGTCCATTCACTCACATAGAATTACATAGCAATTGGAGGTGAGCACAATGTCATTTGAACTTCCTGATATTTGTGCTGATGATAATGCTGTAAGTAAGGCAGCAGGCCATTTTTGTAGTTCAGTTGCAAGTGGTCTCTTTTCTCTTGAAAGCATGTGAAAGGCGCCCTGGCTGGTGTGGCTCAGTTGGTTAAGCATATCCCATGCATCGAGAGGTCGCAGGGTTGGAGGCTCAATCCCCGGTAGGGAGCATGCAGGAGGCAACCGATCAATGTTCCTCTCTCTCCCTTCCTCTCTTTCTAAATATGTCAGTAAAAACACATTAAAAAAAAATATGTGAAGAGTAGTATGCACATTTTGTGTTTCCTTTTAGCGCTAATGAAAATGCATAAGATATAAATGAGAAATTGGGCCTAGCCGGCAGGGCTCAGTGGTTGAGTTTTGACTATGAACTAGGAGGTCACCGTTCAATTCCCTGGGTTGTGGGCTTGATCCCCAGTGTGGGGCATGCAGAAGGGAGCCCATCAATGATTCTTTCTCATCATTGATGTTTCTATCTCTTTCTCTCTTCCTCTCTAAAATCAATAAATATATTTTAAAAAAAATAAGTGAGAAATTGGGAGGGGCTGTTGCACGTTGACCAGTTCAAGTAGCTAAATTAACTGCTTTTGTTTTTAATATTTAAATATATATTTTATTGATTTTTTTACAGAGAGGAAGAGAGAGGGAACATCGGTGAGAATCATCCATCAGCTGCCTCCTGCACACCCCCCACCAGGGATGTGCCCGCAACCAAGGCACATGCCCTTGACTAGAATTGAACCCCCCTTCAGTCCACAGGCTGATGCTCTATCCACTGAGCCAAGCCGGTTTTGGCTTGTTTTTAATATTTAATCTGAAGAGAATTATAAAGACAGCTTTCACAAATCTCTCCAGGAATTTGGTTGTTGTATGCAAGCACAAACAGTGCTTTCATTTTAGTAAAATAGAGGTCAATTTTAGTAAAATAGTAAAGGACCGAGTTGAACAATTTTAAGTTTGCAAAGTTTAGGATTGATTGGGTAGCTCTTGGTAAAATAGAATTCTTGGAAAGAAAAAGTGACTGAGGAGTATGAAAAAAAGAAAAGAGTCCCCTGTTAGGGTCAGATGGCAAAATATAAATATATATATAAATATATGTATTTGGCAGAAAAAACAGAGGCACTTCTTTTTAGAGGAGCGCTCCGCATAAGGGCTCTGTCTCCATGCTGGCTGTGTGCTCTGTAATATCATTTGATGTATTGTTTCCCTCCCACGCCCAAAGTCATAAGATCTAATGATGCCTCGTAAAATGTTTCTCACGAATCCCTTTCCAGATGGCTCCGAGGTGAATTAAGTTTCAGTTAACCTCTTCGGGACATATTTTGGATATACGCCTTTATTTGCCATGGGTGCTTTTGTGAGTAGAAGCTAAATGCAGATTCTGCTAGACTGTACTGTTCACGTTGTCTTGGTTTTCAGTATTTTTCCTTCTCGCTTTAAGGAAGTCTCCTTCTCTCCTTGATGTATTTGATGGGTGTGCCAAGCACTTAGACCTGTTAGTCCTCTTCTTCCCACTCACTTATTTGTAGGACCACACCGAATGCCTGACTTAAAAAAAAATAAACAAGAGGAGCCTCTGAAACACTGGAAAAAGCTCACGGAAGTTCATCACAACACTTTGTTATTGTTTGTTTCACATCCATTAACTTACATAGGATTACATAGTAATTTGTTGTGTAGTATTGGACTGTTTACAGACATTTCCCCGTTTATTTGATAATTTCAGCAGCCAAGTGATTTATGTAGCACAGTTTCCTCCATTCTACCGTGAGGGAACTGAGGCCCTGAAGAAAGTGATTACTTCCCTGAGGTTACAGACGGGAACTGTCATTTACTAAACAGTTACTATGTGCCAACGAGGTGACCAGTACGGTACTGGGCTCTGAAATGTCAAACGTGACAAAGCCCTATAGAGCCAGGAGTCATAACATAACTGATTTTGTTTACATGCAATCTTCTGTAAAAATTGTGAAATGGCTGTCCGACTGCAGGGGTAACACATCCCAAAGGATTTTCACACAGACGTTAGGTTAAAGATAAGGAGGAATAGGAAAAATATACTTATCCTTCCCTAACTCATCAGACGTTGAGTTAGGAGTTCTCAAACCTGGCTGACCTTTAGAAGTCAGCTGGGAAACTTTGTTTTAAAAGGCATATTGGTGAAGAGTCAACTAGAAATTGAAATTTAAAAGAAAAAGTATATTAACAATAGTATCAAGAAACATTATTTAGGGACAATTATAATGGGATTTGGGAAGACCACTACAGAGAAAACTATACAACAATCTTTTTTTTTTTTTTTTTTTTTTTTTTTTTTTTTTTTTTAAGTATGTTTTTATTGATTTTAGGGAGAGAGAAAGGGAGAGGGATAGAGATATAGAAACACCATCCATGAGAGAAGAAATGTCCATTGGCTGCCTCCTGCATGGCCACTACTGGGGATGGAGCCTGCAACCTGATCATGTGCTCTGACCGGGAATCCTTATGGTGCCCCTGTTTTATAAATTTCAGATGAAGAGTTGAGATAGACCTGTGTTCTGAGTGCCATTAAGGTTTCTTTCTGAAAAGAATACCTCACTATACTGTAGAATTTTATAAACAATAAAATGTGTAAAGAAGCCCTAACTGGTTTGGCTCAGTGGATAGAGCGTCAGCCTGCGGACTGAAAGGTCCCGGGTTCGATTCCAGGCAAGGGCATGTACCTTGGTTGCGGGCACATCCCCAGTAGGAGGTGTGCAGGAGGCAGCTGATCGATGTTTCTCTTTCTTTCATCGATGTTTCTAACTTTCTCTCTCTCTCCCTTCCTCTCTGTAAAAAAATCAATAAAATATATTTTAAAAAATGTGTAAAGAAAAGAGAAATCACCTAAAATATATTCCCAGGGATACCTGCGTTTAATGCCCCTACTTATTTATTCAGGTTACTAATTGTTTAATAATGCATTTTAATTTTCTTGGTTCTATCTTTTCTTACTCTCTTTGAAAGCAATGGACATTTCAGTTCTCCAAGTATTTCTTGTGATTTATCTTCACCTTTGTTTACCTGTTTAGTGGATTATTTGATAATTTACTTGGACAAAGAAAGAACTGGTGTGCAGCTAAGAGAAAGATACACAGAAAACCATGGGTAGAGTGAGTGAGTTAATAAACATAACCAGAAATGGATGGGAAAGGCCTAGAAGATGAGGTGTTGGAAAACTGTTGTTACAACCTGTCTTTTATGTGGACTCTGAACTTGGTCCTTAAACAAAAAGCTCATTTTCCCAGACTACCCATGGTTCATTACTATAGATGAAGGAAGTATCTGAGATGGGTGTTCAATCGACATTTTTGCCAGTATTGATGGCACCTTCTTTTGCAAGCTAGGTAATACAGTCCTGTCTGAAAGATGAAGAAAATGAGGTTTAAGAGAACTGAGACTCTTGCCTAAGTTCACAAATCTAGTACATGGTGGGATAAAATTGTAGCCGCCTCATGTCTCCAGGGTGACTTCAGAATTCTTAGTTCCTACTGTTCTTTAAATCAGTGCATTCACAGTTGTCAGTAGCTCTTAGGGTTGTTAATTCTTAAATTCAGGGGCTCTGTTCAGAATAGAATTGTTATGGTTGCTACCAGGTGGGGAGTTTTTCTGGGGTCTGGGAACCTTGAGCATCCTCAGCCACTTTAAGAATTTTTCTCATCTTTGGAAATACATTTTCCCCACCTTAGGTCTTAGTCCTGCCACTCATGAGCCAAGTCACATGTTTGTTTTGTTTTGTTTTTTGTTGTTGTTTTTTAAAATATATATTTTATTGATTTTTTTTTTACAGAGAGGAAGGGAGAGGGATAGTTAGAAAGATTGATGAGAGAGAAACATCGATCATCTGCCTTGTACATGTATGTGCCCTTGACCAGAATCGAACCTGGGACATTTCAGTCCGCAGACTGATGCTCTATGCACTGAGCCAAACCGGTTTCAGCTGCTTCACCTCTTTAAGCTTAATTGTTCTCATCAGTGAACTAGGGGCAGTAATAAAATTTATCAACCAGTTTTTCTTTCTGAGGATTAAATTAATCTCTGTGTTTATATTTGTGATTTCTACAAACTGATATTAGAGGTTCATATATTACAATGAAACGTTTCTCTTGTTGTAGGTCTTATTGAATTTTCTGTGGGGAAATTCAGATACTTCAAGCTCAACAGACCCTTTCCAGAGGAAGCTATTTTGCGTAATATTTCCAGCAATGCGACTTTTCTTATTTTCCAAATACACTCACAGTATCAGAATACAACCGTTTCTTTTTCTAAGGTAAGTACAAAGGATTATTTCTGTAAAAACTGTTTCTGCAGTTTGTGTTCTTCTATTTAGCAAAAGCATTAGAATTATTGGTTGCCTCTTTACGTTTAGCTTTGTCTTAAAATTTAAAAAAAAAATTAAAGTTGGTTTCGGTAAAATTAGTGGTTTAGACCAGCTAAGAGGTGAATATCTCAGGCCTTTCTTGAATGTGGTGACCTCTGACTTAATGAGGAGGTGATAAGGTGTTGAGTCTGAGGGAAGGGTGAGCTATGCCATTGTTTCCTGTCTGAATGTAGTTAAAGCTTTCCCCATGATTTCCCATTTTTTTCCCCCTTACTCTCCTGATCCTTAATGATTTTTACCTGTGAATACATTTTAATGGGTTTCTGTTTTTATTTAGCCATTTAGTGTGGTGTTAAAATTGACTAAGATCTATCCTATAATATATAATAAAAGGCTAATATGCAAATCAATCGAATGGCAGAACAACCAGTTGCTATGGTGCACACTGACCACCTGGGGCAGACATTCAATGCCGGAGCTGCCCCCTGGTGGTCAGTGTGCTCCCCCAGGGGGAGCACCGCTCAGAAGCCAGACTCACAGGGGTGGTGGGAGCCTCGCCTGCCTCTGTAGCAGCACTAAAGATGTCTGACTGATTGCTTAGGCCTGCTCCCCGTGGGCTCCCAGACTACGAGAGGGTGCAAGCCGGGCTGAGGGACTCCCCCACCTCCTGAGTGCACGAATTTCATGCATCAGGCCTCTAGTTTAATAAGATCCTATAGGATCAACTTTATTCTTTGATGCCTCTTGGAAACAAAAATATCCTAATACTGAGTTCATCCTCTAACAGCACCTCTAACAGCATTCAGAACTCTTGCAGAAATCATCACTAACCCCTTAACCTCAGCTTCGGCTTTGGGAAGTTTTTCAAATGCCCTGGCTCAGCCTAAGCTATTAAGGACCTGCCATATTGATAACCTTTTGCAAATCTATTTCTATTTAGCCTATATGACTCTTTAGACAAATTCCACTATGTATGTTGTGTTTTTGTTTTTTATTTGTTCTAAGCCTATGTTCTAATATCCTAGATTTTGTTAAACAAAGTTCTTTTAGTCCGATTCATATATGTTTTGTAGGCCTTGGTCATATAATCTCTCAAACTAAGCATTTTATATATTTTTACCTTGATATCCTGCTTTTGTCATGAAGGCTTTGAAGTTACATGCCTATGTGTGATAGTTTAATCAACTGCAAATGAAAGAGTCTGATCATGGAAAACAAGAAGGAATAAATTGTTAATTGCAAGAGATGACAGAACCTGTGACCCATTTATGCTGACTTTGCTTTAATTCATGGCAGCCAGAGCAAAAATCAAATCATGTTAAATTTCCTAACTTCTTTAGAAGGAAGAACATGCTAGTTACTCAAGAGAAGCCACGTTTTTTTCTGGCACTATATTCAAAAGGAATCTCCCTACTCAGGAGACATAGTAAAATGGCACGTGCATAATTTCCATCTTAATAACATCGCAACACAGACAACATTTGAAAAAAGGGAAAGGGCAGAGAAAAAGGCATTTATATTTATTTCATGCCTACTGTGTGCTAGGCTGGTAGTCCTAGCTCCTGGGGTCGTAGACTTGAAATCTGATGAAACTTATGGACTCTCTATCTGGCAGAATGTATAGGTACATATGTGTGATTTCATGGGGACCTCCGAAACTCTCCGGGCTTCCGGGACTCCTAGTTAGGAACTCCTGTGCCTGGTTTTCCATATAATTAATTTAATTCTCACAACAGCTCAACCAAGTAGTTACAGTGCTTGTTTTTACCTCTGAGGAAACAGAAGTGGCCTGGATGAACAACATATGCCAGTCACAGCCCTCCAACTCAGTTTCCTGCAGGAAGGATCTTTGTTATCTTTAATTATAACAATCTTCCTCACTGTGCTGCTTTTAGTTCACTCTGTCTATACCACTGGGAGGCTAACAGAGTGCATGTAGCTCTGGGAGTGAGCAGTCTGTGCGAAGAGAATTGTTTCTGTGTCCTCTGCCCTTCCCGATAGTGTTGCACGTGAGATTGTTAGGCTCATCATGGCAGCTGGTTCTTTAAAACTGTCAACTATTGTTTGTCAGTTAGTATTTATTTGGGTCATTCTCCCTTTTGATTGACAAATTGAAGCCCACCTATCACTTATGGAAAAATCAACCTGCAAGTCAGTCTGCAGTTATGGGAAACCTGTCCAGGATACTTCACATATGCCAATCACAGTCCTCCCACTCAGTTTCAGCCAACTTATCTTACCCTGCAAAAAGGACCTGCTGGTATCCTGAGAACTTTCCGACCTCCTAGCCCCTTGGTCGGCAGACTGCGGCTCGCGAGCCACATGCTGCTCTTTGACCCCTTGAGTGTGGCTCTTCCACAAAATACCACGGCCTGGGCAAGTCTATTTTGAAGAAGTGGCGTTAGAAGAAGTATAAGTTTAAAAAACTTGGCTCTCAAAAGAAATCTCAATTGTTGTACTGTTGATATTTGGCTCTGTTGACCAATGTGTTTGCCGACCACTGTCCTGGCCCATCCTGCCCTGTTTCTGCATGGTTGTTTCTAGTGCTCTCTAGAGCTCGCCCTCACCCTAGACCTCTCAGAAACAATATTCTACAGCATGTGAGGCATTGCACTCCCCCAGCCGATGGTTGTTTCCCCCTGAATAAAGGATATCAAACTTGGGAGGAAGTTATTTTAGTTTCATCATGCAGCAGTAGTGTTAATACCTGACCTAGTACATCTTAATTTGGGGGATAGAAAAGCTTGGGAATTTTATTGCCTCTGATCAAAGATCACGTATTTTAAGTAGTTCTGCCATGTGTATGTGTGGGCAAATGCACATAAAGGAGACAAGAGCTCTTTAATTTTCTAAGGAAGGTCTGTTTTTATTTTTTCTGTTTTGGGGAGATTTGGAATAGGACATGCATAGCAAGTAGACCATCTCTGGAATTTTAATATTTTGCTCAACTCCCTGTTCATGATGACTCTTTTGTTCCTTATTGCAGATGCTCCTTCCCAGCACCTCGGGGACAGGCACCGACAAAGGACTGGTTTTCATTCTTAGACCGGAGCAAAGCATGTGCTCTTGGTATTTGGAGACTTTAGAAGCTGAGCCTGTCCAAAATTTGGCCATTCCACTCTCCTACTCAGAAAGAGGTGGTGACCTTTCTGTCTTCAACTTCTACTGTCTAGCATACGGGACTTGTTCCTGAACATTTAGGGAAAACTGTAATCTTATTAAAAGTGTTTATTGTAAGTACAATATATTTAATCAGAAAGGTTTTAATAGTAAGGGAGCCAGAGAATTGTCAAGATGTTGAAAGTCTAGGTAGGAGCTAGGAGAATACATTTAAGGAGCCGTTGGAAAAGCAGTAATAAAAGGGCAAGACACACTCCTTAGCACTTTAGTGGGTTATTCTAGGCAGAGGAGGGCACTTTAAAAAAATGGAATGTTAGAAAAATGGCATATAGTGGGTGTGGCTGGAGGCAGAGTGGGAGGGCCTTGCATATAATTTGAGGTTCACGTTCTATTCTGAGATCCGGGGAAGCCTAGCGAGTGTTTATAAGCAGAGGAATGGTGTGATGCACTTCATCTCTTAGGAAGTTAACTCTAGAAGCAGTGTGGGAAGTGGGTTGAGAGTTCCGCTGCAGCACTAAGGATGTCCGCTCCCCTATGGCCTAAGCCCGTGGTTGGCAACCTGTGGCTCTCGAGCCACATGCAGCTCTTTGGCTCCTTGAGTGTGGCTCTTCCACAAAACACCATGGCCTGGGCAAGTCTATTTTGAAGAAGTAGCATTAGAAGAAGTTTAAAAAATTTGGCTCAACTTTTGCTGAGTACAACTATTGATATTTGGCTCTGTTGACTAATGAATTTGCCGACCACTGGCCTAAGCCAGCTATCAATTAGACATTCCCCGAGGGCTCCTGGACTGCAAGAGGGTGCAGGCCGGGCTGAGGGACTCCCCTGAGTGCAGGAATTTCATGCACCGGGCCTCTAGTTATTAATAAAATGGAATGCCACAAATTTGTGTTTAATTAAATATTTAAATACTATTCTGATAATTGGTCTTGGGGGTCTTTTGAGGTCTTTTACTATATATATATATATATATATATATATATATACACACACACACACACACACATACACACACACACACACAAAGACTCTTGCAAAATTGATGACACTGTCTTTCTCCCTATTCCTCATGGAGTTCCTTTTCTCTTTGGCAGTGTTTTCCCCCTCCATCCCTGGGTTCTTATGTTCTTGTTGTAGGTTCATAGTCCCCAAAATCTAACAAAGACCTCTTTCCCTAGGAAATGAACACTTTCAACATACAATTTCTGGGTGTTCATGGAGCCCCTAAACTCCATTCTTGGATTTCAGCTTAAGAATCTCTTTTCTCTTCTGACCATTTCAATTCTAGAGCAGAGTTTGACAAACTACAGACAGAGCCAGATCTAACTCGCTTCCCATTTTGTACATGAAGTCGTATTGGAATGCAGCCATGTTGATTCACTTAGGAGTTGTCTACGTCTGCTCTCGTGCCATAAAGGCAGGGTTGCGTAATTGTCACAGAGACCATTCCACCCTTGAAGCCCAAAATCGGCACTATCTGATCCTTTACAGAAGAGATTTGCTGACCCTTGTTCCAGGGCCCTTAACCTCAGTTAAGTTTACCCTCTTAACCTCAGTTCATGAGGTGGTACAAAACTAGAAGCTCTGTATTTAAGTTATATATGGAAAGTTCTTGAAAGAGTAGAGTTTTGTTTTCTGAGTGTTATTTGAATATATAAAAATTCTGTGTTGAGTGACTTCCTTATTTTTCATCCAGATCCTATTCCTGGAGGCTGTAATTTAGAGTTTGATTTAGATGTTGACCCCAACATTTACTTGGAGTATGATTTCTTTGAAACAACTATCAAATTTGCCCCAGCAAACCTAGGCTATGCAAGGTATGTCTGCCTCTTACAGTTACTTGTAGAACACGCATGACAAGATTCAACAAACTCTCTCAAAAGCCATCATTCTCTTTAGCAAAATGGAATCCTTTAATTTTTTAATTAGAACTCTGCATTAGTTTCTAGTTTAACAATAGGATAGCTAATGTTTGAGTAACATTTGAATGCTCTCTGTGTATCATCCAGAATGCTCTCTGTGTATAATTCTAGCACTTTTATTACAAAAGGGTAATTGTTCTTATTTTATGAAAAAATTCCCTAAGGGAGAGTAATGACTTGCCAATGTACAGCTAACAACTGGCAAAGCTAGCATTTGACACTAGGCCTGACTGACATTAACGTCTGGTTACATAACCATACGGCCTGTCAGTGTTATTTTTCTTTAGAATGCCAAAACTGGGATCCTTGTCTCAGGAGCTGGAAATGTGAGCTTTTAGTTCCTTTTTATAGATGGGACTTCATCCACAAGAGATTGATGTTCAGTTTTTTTTTTTTTTTTTTTTAATATATTTTATTGATTTTTCACAGAGAAGAAGAGAGAGGGATAGAGAGTTAGAAACTTCGATGAGAGAGAATCATCGATCAGCTGCCTCTTGCACACCCCCCACTAGGGATGTGCCCGCAACCAAGGTACATGCCCTTGCCCGGAATCAAACCCGGGACTTTTCAGTCCGCAGGCCGACACTCTATCCACTGAGCCAAACCGGTCCCGGCTGATGTTCAGTTTTGTTGGTTGACTTTAGAGGCGCTGATTCTCCTCCGTGTGACACCAAGACGGGGCAGGACTCCAGGTGGAGGTTGCAGTACGATGTCTATCAGTATTTTCTGCCTGAGAATGACCTCACTGAGGAGGGGTTGCTGAAGCATCTGCAGAGGATGGCCGAAGTGCCTCAGGTGATGGCCAGTGCTATGAAGGTAAATCTGATCCTTGTGCTTTGAACAGCCAGATTGCTACACCTTTGTAAGAGATGAGTAGCAGAGAAGCTACCAGGAGCTTATTTCTTTATTGTTCCCTTGGTCTTTCTGGGGTTTGGACTTTATTCTCTTATGTCTTTATTATCTTGGGAGTCTTTGCTAGTGATATCTCAAAGTAATGTTGTCCTTTAAAGAGATGCATGTAAATTACATTATATTTTAGTTGCAGCCATACATATGACCTTGAGATATAGATAGAAGTGGGTGGTGATTTTTATGTATTCCTATACTTATTAGATTAAAACTTTTGGCAAATACGAAGGTTATAGTGTTGTGAGAAACTGTTTAAGGATATACTCACTGGCATTAATATTTAAACCCAAACTTCAAATCTCTTACTTGGAGAAAAATTTCCCTGAGTTGTTGCCAGAAGGTTGAGATTACCAGTTTACATAGAAAGAGGTGATTGAAATAGGGCATACATGGTTAGTCTAGAGGCTCAGTCTGTTATAGAACAAGATCTCAATGTGTTACTCTGTCTCCTAGGATGTCATTGCCCCATGCTAAGAGAGAGCCTTATACAAGAACACTTATTTGGCTTATTCACAAATTAGGAAGTTTTTTGGAAAAAGTTTTTTCTTTGAAATAGGAAATTTTGAAGACCATGTTTATATATTTATTTATTTGTTAATCCTCACTCAGTTGATTCTTAGAGAGAGTGGAAGGGATGGGGGGAGGCAAAGAGAGAAAAAAAGAAAGGAAGAAAAGCCGGGACCGGTTTGGCTCAGTGGATGGAGCATCGGCCTGTGGACTGAAAGGTCCCGGGTTCGATTCCGGGCAGGGGCATGTGCCTTGGTTGCGGGCACATTCCCAGTGGGGGGGTGTGCCAGAGGCAGCTGATGGATGATTCTCTCTCATCGATGTTTCTGACTCTCTATCCCTCTCTCTTCCTCTCTGTGAAAAATCAATAAAAAAAATATTAAAAAAAAAAAAAAAAAAAAAAAGAAAGGAAGAAAGAAACATCGATGTGAGAGAGACACATTGGTTGGTTGCCTCTCGCACTTACCCAGCCAGGGCTGGGGATCGAGTCTGCAACCGAGGTACATACACTGGAATCGAACCCAAGGCTCTATCGTCCGCAGGCCAGCACTCTTTTATCTACTGAGCCAAACTGGCTAGGGCTATTCTTATGAAAAATATACTAAGAACTCACCGAACAGGACCCTTTTAAGCTACTTTTAACTTCCAGTTAAGAGTTAGAATATTGTATGCCAAAATTCAAGGAAACCCTCAGTGACTAATGAGTACATTTAAAAAGACTCGAACCTGTTTGAAGAGACTCACACTGGTCAACTTTGGGACAATTCAGTGATCAAAAAATAAAATGATTGATTATATGTCCTGAATGAGTAAAAACAAGATCTATACTGATACCAAAAAAAAAACACCAAACATACAAAAACTCCTTAGTTGCTACCATTGGAAAAGGCTCTTACACCAAATTACCCTGAAAATTTGCTAAAAGGGAAGGAATTTGTCCTGCCTTTTTAAAGGGAGGAGAGGTTATTCATTCTCAATTGATGAGAGAAACCGAGCAACTAATAAATGATGAAGGAATCATTTAAATTAGAAAGTCACCATTTTGAGGTCCTCAAGGGTCATTAGTGAGAGATTATTGGGGAACAGGATATTTCCAGGATGCCTAACTAGCCTGCCCAGATTCTAATTGTAAAGGGTCAACTGTTTTTAGAATGGAGTAACCTGATTGTCTCCTTCTTACGCTGTGGTCAGCACAGCCTCAATAATCGTGGGTTCACCTGCATGGGGTGCTCACATGAAGGCCGTCTGACATTGTCACCATTATCACCACCCAGGAAGGATACTAGCAAAGCATAGCCTGAATCCAGACCTTGGAGTTCCTGCTTACAGGAAACATAGGGAGTGAAAGTACAAATTGGACACCTTGAGCATGATCTAAAAAATGCAGATTATGGAATATTCTATAAAGTGACTGCCCTTAATCTCTTCAGAAGTTATTGGGTGAGCTGAAACCGGTTTGGCTCAGTGGATAGAGCGTCGGCCTGCAGACTGAAAGGCCCTAGGTTCAATTCCGGTCAAGGGCATGTACCTTGGTTGCGGGAACATCCCTAGTAGAGGATGTGCAAGAGGCAGCTGATCGATGTTCCTCTCTCATCGATGTTTCTAGCTTTCTATCCCTCTCTCTTTCTCTCTGTAAAAACTCAATAAAATATATATATTAAAAAAAAAAGAAGAAATTATTGGGTAAGTGGGAGTAGGGTGGTGGGAAGGACTGTTCTGGATCACAGAGGCTAGAGATAAGTACTGTGCATGCAGCTTGGTTGGATATTGGTTAAAGGGGAGAAAAGCTATAAAGGATGTTTAGAAAAACCTGAATATGGAATTTGCAATAGGTAAGAATTTATTAAACTTCTTAGGTGAGCTAAGGTATTATGGGTATTTAGGAGATCCTTTATACATCAGACCTTGCTACTCAGAGTGCAGAAGATGGATATATAGCATGGACATAACCCAAGAGATTGTTAGAAAAGCAGAATGTCAGATACCCTCTCTGACCAACAAAATCCGAATCCGAATTTTAACAAACTATCCAGTGACTCCTAGACACATTAAGTTTGAGAAACACTGTTTTCGGATATGCATACTGAGTTATTTGGAAGTGAAATGTCATGATATCTGTACCTCACTTTAAAATGGTTCCACAGAAGAAAATAGAAGGATGAAGAGGAGGAGGAAGGGATAGATAAGCAAATGTGGTAAAATATTAACAGTGGTTAAATCTAATTGGTGCGATGTAGTTTATTAATTGTAGTGTTCTTTCCGTATTTCTGTAAAGAAGGTTTCATAATAAAAATGTGTGTGACTAGGAAGTACTTGTTGAACTTGACCAAATACTTTGCCTAGGAAACATATTTGTGAAGGCTAAGCAATATTTTTGAGCAGTGGAAGTCCTTAAGAGACTAAAAATTACTCCTGAAAACTCTAATTTTCTCACCAGTATTAATAAGAATATAGCTATATAGGTTTTTGTTTCTTCTGTGACATGTATTACCTATTTTAAAAACAACCTTTCAAAGGGAATTTTTGAAGTTAAGGAGTATTGCATAACACAACTCATGTAATGTCTTCTTATATCAGAGCCTGTTAAACAAAAATAAGTAGGTATTCTACAAACACTGTTAGCACTGTAACTAGGAGTAATAGCTAACTCTTGTTGAACACTCACTCTTATGCCATGCATTGTGCTAAGTATTGAAGAAAGAATAGTGAACAAAATAATTATGGTTCCTGCTCTTAGGTTGTTTACAGTCTAGCATATGAAAAAAAATTTTTTTTTTACTTTGTCCTAATTAGTCTTTACATGTTACTTATATCTTATTTAATTATTAACATTTAATATTATACAAACACTTTAAAAACATGTTGTGTAAGAGCTTATATTAGTGCATACAAATTGTGTATGATAATTTTTTAATAAAACTAAACAGGGTATATTTAAAAAAATATGTTTTAATATTATAATTTGATATTACATATAGGTGGATTATAACAGAATAGCCTTTAAAAAAATCTAGCTGAAACTGGTTTGGCTCAGTGGTAGAGCGTCGGTCTGCAGACTGAAAGGTCCCACGTTCGATTCCAGTCAAGGGCATGCACATTGGTTTCGGGCATATCCCCGGTGGGGGGTATGCAGGAGGCAGCTGGTCGATGTTTCTCTCTCATCGACATTTCTAGCTTCCTTCCTCTGTAAAAAAATCAATAAAATATATTAAAAAAAAAATCTAAACACTAATCATGCATTATGTTTGGCTCCAGGTGGTCACTCTGACAGCTGACGATAAGACAAGTGTTTCCTTCTCCTCCCTCCGGGGGCTAGGCGTCATTTATAATGTCATTGTTCGGGACCCCGTTCTCAATACATCTGCGGCTTATGTTCCTGCTCACACATACGCCTGCAGCTTTGACGCAACGGAGGGTAATTGTTCTTCTCTTGGTGAGTGTATGGATTTAAACTTTGCGAACTCTTTTTTGACTTTGAAGATCTTTATCAACTAATATAGAACTTAAGAATATTGAAAATGCTTTTGTGTAGTATTTACTCATTCATTGTACTGATGCCTCTTAAGCCCCTACACTATTCCACTCTCTCCTCTCTGTTCCCAGCCCTGGAAGACAGCAGTGTGTGCATGTACTTAACATTTTATTTTGAAATAGTTTCATGGAAAAGATGAAAAAAATAGTAACAATGTCTGTATAATCTTCACCCAGATTCTTCAAATGCTGGTTAATATATTTTGCTGTTTATTCTATTTATAGCTCTATTTAGCATTCTTCTATTAAGAGCTTTCGGTCATCAACTGTGGATGAATTGTAGTTCCTCCTTTAAAGGAGATAGCAGGCTAAACTCCTTCCCTTTATCAGTTTCCAACCACAGGTCTTAAAATAAGCAGAATGTGGCATTGTCTTTCATTTCATCTTTCATTTGGGTTCTTCATTCTCAGCAAAGCTGCTATGTAGGTATATATCGTGCCCTACAAATTCTGGTCTTCTCTCTTGTATTTCTCATTTTAATGTAGGTCTTTGAGTATTTTTATCTGAGTCTTAAGTGTTTTGGTTGGTAGTGTTTTTTTTTTTTTTTTTTACATGAGTTTATATAGGTGTTTTGTATTTTGGTTTTAGTTTAGGAATTATTTTCTTCTGTTTATCTCAAAGGAGTCATGATGGGTGATGAATTTTGAGCATATTTTTTTCTTGTAGTTTATTTATTATACTATTTAAAATGTTTTTTATTGATTTCAGAGATAGAAAGGGAGAGGGAGAGATAGAAACATCAATGATGGGAGAGAATCATCCATCGGCTGCTTCCTGCACGACTCCCTCCTGGGGATCGAGCACACAACCCAGGCATATGCTCTGACCGGGGAGTGGAACCATAATCTCCTGGTTCATAGGTTGACACTCAACTGTTGAGCCACATCTTCCAGGCTGTAGTTTATTTTTGAAGAAACAGAATTATTTGTTTTAGGTACAATCTCTCCTCCTTCTTTCCCACTTCCTCCCTCCCCTTCCCCCAAGAATATGTTGCATACATCTATCAGGAAGCATATATATATATTTTTAAATTTTTTGTTGTACTTGTACCAGCAGCCATTGCCTACATACAATAATTCATTTAAGGGTAGAAGGATATGTTTAAGACAAATTATACATGTATGGAATAAATTGTGATCAGTTGACTTTGCTTTTTTTCATGAAGCTTTGTTCTATTGATTAAATACAAAGTATCAAATTGCATGTATTATTCACTAAATTTTCATTATTTTTAGGAAGAGTATCTACCAAAGTGTTTTTCACTCTGTTTGCCCTGCTTGGTCTCTTCATTTGTTTCTTCGGACACAGATTCTGGAAAACAGGTATGATGTAATTGCTATTGCATGCCTCATGGTCTTTTTTCTTAAATGCTGTGGAGAATTTGTGACCTGTAAGGAGAGTAGGCAACTGTTTACCTCCACTGTCTTCATAAACTTGTGGTTGGGTTGTTTTAGTGAAGATTCTACCGAGTTGCTCTGCATTTTTATTTTTTCTCTTTTTCCCAATAATGGTGTTTATGACCTCCTCTTGTTAGTGGAATAAAATTTGATTTGTGCAGCAAACTTCTTCACTTGCTAAATTTGCTAGTTGGTTAAAGATAACTGGTTAGGAATCAGGATGTCAATATAAAAAAATATATGTGTGGATTTCATTGTTGGTGGTCAACATGGTTTCATATAAGTCAGGCTGTAGGACTCCATATATAATTCATTAACAAGGAGTATAAATGGAGCATCAGGGGGAGAGATAATCCTGATCTCATAAACCTCTTTAAACTTGCTTAAACAAATTGTTTGAAATAGCAATTCCTTTTCCTCCATCACTATACCTTTTTTTCTTATTGAGAAGAGATGATTGTGAAGAATATTTAATTCCACAAAAATGTAGAATGATTCTGTAACAAAGAACTTAATTTCTAAGCTAAGATATTACTAGGTATTTTAACGAATGAAGATAATGGTTGGATTGTCCATTCTAAAAAGGAAAAGGATGAATTAAAAGGAGACATAAAAGTCACATTTTGCTTTGGAATATTTTGTGTGGCTTTCTTTTTAACTTTTAAATTTTCTTTTTTTTTTCATATTTTATTGATTTTTTTTTAACATATTTTATTGATTTTTTTTTTTACCCCCCTCCCTCCGTCCCACACATCCCCTCCCTCCCCAGAGTTTTATGTCCATTGGTTGTACTTATATGCATGTATACAAGTCCTTCGGTTGATCTATTATTAAATTTTCTTTTAAATTGAAATTTAGTGTGCAATTTCAGATCAGACACAATGACAGAAGTCCTATTCTTTTTTTTTTTTTTTTAATACTTTTTATTGATTTTTCACAGAGAGGAAGAGAGAGGGATAGAGATTAGAAACATCGATGAGAGAGAATCATCGATCAGCTGCCTCTTGCACACCCCCCACTGGGAATGTGCCTGCAACCAAGGTACATGCCCTTGCCGGGAATCGAACCCGGGACCTTTCAGTCCGCAGGCCGACGCTCTATCCACTGAGCCAAACCGGTCCCGGCAGAAGTCCTATTCTTATTTTAAGAAAGAAGTATATTAAAATGAGCTCTGAAATTAACAACTTATCAATTGAAATTGACCTAAATATAAGAAGGTATAACTTATGGTTAATACTTTAATATTATATCCATTTAATATTTAATCCCCATGAGTTCTACATTTCTCTTGCCTTTTAGATAATTATTTCTCTCCTCCAAATATCCTAATGTGGAAGTATGAATTTGTACATTATATACTTAATTGCATTGTAAAAAGAATACCTAACCATAGCTTGTGTTTTGTTTTTTGTTTTTCCTTTCTTGATGGTTTGCTACTAGAATTATTCTTCATAGGCTTTATCTTCATGGGATTCTTCTTTTATATACTGATTACCAGACTGACACCCATTAAGTATGATGGTAAGTAAAAATAATATAGTTTAATTAGGTGTTCAAAAAGGAAGATGCTGTATTTACACTCTACCTTTGCTTCCACAGTTTGTCCGGTATTGTGTATGATATCCTATTTTGTGTGTAAAATAATGTAAAACCTGTATTCTAAACGTCTTTTCTAAACTGCTTGTTCAGACCTTCTCTTCCAAGTTTTTGGTACTTGGTTAAATTACTTGGTATTTAGGGAAATGAAAGGTCCCTATGGATTATAAACCTGTGTTTCAGCTATGTGGTATGCTGAAATACAAGATTTACAACAGTGAAATGTTAAGATTTTCTTCACCTTAAAGCAAACACAACCCCTCTGTCCTCGTCATATTTAACAGAATGCTTGTCATGCCTGTCACCAGTCCGGGAGGTTCAGCTCTCCAGCTAGGGTTCATGTCTCAGACTGGCCCTTCCAGAGAGGGAGCGCCATGCTGGTCTCATGGTGCCACGGAAGAGCCCACCAACCTCTGTTGGTGCTTGACCAACAGGAAGGCTAAGGGCTGCCCTGGCAGTGGTCTATTGCAGCTAAAGCATGCAGCCAGAGAAGCCACCTCTGGTCACACAGTTCCTCTTCGGTCTTTGTGCAGTTCGTCTGGTCCTGACAGCCATCGCCGGAAGCCTTGGTGGGATTTTCTTGGTTGCTGCTTGGTGGCGATTTGGCATCCTCACGCTCTGCATGCTGTGTGTGGGACTAGTGCTGGGCTTCCTCGTCTCTTCAGTGAGTTTCTTCACTCCGTTAGGTAAGAGATGCGTAACTCAATGTTGCATGTTTTCAGTTTATTGTTTGAAAGGTTTTATTTGGGCTCTCTAGGTACAAGAAGGATATGGGATCTTCTATAGAGTTCTGGAAATTTGCGCTTGATGATGTGGCATTTAGGGAGGGCCAGGATAAGTAAGAATCCCACTTTCCTCAAAGATACCTGTACTAGATGACTTATAGAAGGCCTTTAGAGATAGCTTTGTTCCTATTTGTGTGATAAGGTGTGTGTCTAAGTATGTTTCTGTTAGAGTTAATGGAGGTAAAAGGCATTCTTAATATATAGCAAAACAGTGGGTTTTTGTTTTGTTTTTTAAACCCTGGAAATCTTTCTTCAGATGACTCTTAAGTGGAAGCCCAATATAGCCTGCAGGTAAATTTGGTGCTGCTTTGATGGCAGCTGATTTGGGGAACTTAGTGCTTTTTCTCAGTCTTCTCTTTTACCCCTATCCTCCACTACCACCCTTGACCAAACTTTGTGTTCCTAAGGTACCTAGTTGTAGTCATCTTAGGGCTGCATCACAGGGATGGTTGTGTGTGTGTGTGTGTGTGTGTGTGTGTGTTTGTGTTTACATTCAGTTTCGATCCATGTAAAAGATTTTGTTAACTTGTAAGTTAACTTTCTTTGCAGTTGTGCAATAACTTACATTTCCTGATTGTTGTCAAACATGGAAAAAGAGTATCTACATTTTAAGGTACTCTATTAGGCTATTTCTTTTCTATTTATTTATTTATTTATTTATTTATTTCCATTTTTAAAATTAAATTATTATTTGTGTACATATCTTACCATTGGCCCCCCCCACCCCCATTCATGCCCTCCCTCCCCAGAGTTTTGTGTCCCTTGGTTGTACTTATATGCATACACACAGGCTATTTCTTTTTTATGTTAGTTTTTGTATTGTAATATCAGATTAAAGTTGATGGAAATAAGTATAGTTGTCTTTTGAGGCTATCAACTTTTGAGACTACAGGGTATAACAGAATGCTCTATAAATATATATTTTTTAAGACTAGGGAAAATTGACAACCTTTACTGACCATTAAGAGGCCCTTTTGTTTTAATTTTAGCAAACCTAAAGCCAGGTTCATTCCTATAATTCCCCCCTACCCCTTGCACGTAGCTTTTTTACTTTTTATTTTTCAATTAGTGTTAATGGGAATACAGATTGGTATAGCCATGATGGAAAACAGTATGGAGGTTCCTCAAAAAATTGAAAATGGAACTGCTTTATAACCCAGTGATTCCCCTTCTGGGAATACATCAGAAGGAACTCAAAGCACTAATTCAAAAGAATATATGCATCCCTATGTTCATTGCAGCGTTATTTACAGTAGGCAAGATATGGAAGCAACCGAAATGCCCATCAATAGATAAAAAATCTGTGGTACTCTTATGCAATGGAATATTACTCAACCATAAAAAAAAAGAAATCTTACCATTTGCTACAGCCTGGGCAGACCTAAAGGTATTGTGTTGAGTGAATTAAGTCAGAGAATGACAAATACCATATGATTTTACTTATATGAGGGATTTATAGAACTGCTACTCTTCCAGGATACATGGTTCCCAAGATGTGGGGCCACTTCCAGGCGGACTGTATGATGGTGCCACTGTCAGTATTAAATAATTCTCAGCCCTAACTGGTTTGGTTCAGTAGGTAGAGTGTTGGCCTGCAGACCAAAGGTCCTGGGTTTGATTCCGGTCAAGAGTGTATACCTAGATTGCAGGCTCCTCCCCCACCCAGGCCTTGGTCAGGGCATATGCAGGAAGCAGTCAATCCATGCATTTGTCTCTGTCTTTCCCTCTCTCTTCCACTCTCTCTAAAAATATCAACGGAAAAATGTCCTTGGGTGACATAATTGTCAGGCTTAAATTCTCACATTTATATTTATTTATAAATAGGAGTTTTATTATGTTCATCTTGGGTCACCCACAGTGTGCCACATTTTGGAAAAATTTAATAGGAACAGATAAATGGCTAGCTCCTATCTTTCCTGACAAATTAGGAGATCACATCTTCCAGTATGCAGTGGCTGGGAAGTACATGATGGATGGCAAAAATCTAAAGGGATTTTGTTGTTTCAATTGGGTGGGAGTTCATATCGTTAGCTCTAAATCCCATTTCCTTGTACTTTTTACTTTGCAGTACAAAATCATGGAATCATAAAAATGTAGAGCTAGAATGGATGGCGTGGAGTTTGGAGATGAAGTGGTTCAGTCTTCTCATTTTATGGGTTAGGAAACTGAGGCCTAGCCTCACAGCCTGTGATGGAAAGACATGGATTAGTCAGGCCTCTAGTAAATCATCCTGGGAATAAATGCAGAGCATTTACCTGCTTGATTTTACTCCCACCCTTCTATCTGCTGGGACACAGCTTTCAAAGGTGATTGTATGGACAGCTAGCTGAAGAAAATGAGAACTATTTCTAAGCGCCCACACATTTCCTGGTTGTTGTTATACATTAAACTTTCTACGTATGTCCATGTTCAGATGTTGAGAAAATGAAATTTAACGTAGTGAACATGTCTACTCTTTATTTCTTTTTGCTTTTTCAGGAAACCTAACAATATTTAGTAATGATGCTGTGTTCTGGGTGACCTTCTCCTGTATAGTTGTTCTCATCCCAGTAATATTCATTGGCTGCCAAAGAATAGTAAGTGTTTCATCAAACGTTAGATTTATTTATTATATTGTCCTGGGCCTTCAGTTGTTCACTTATTGAATCAGTTTGCATGTTTTATTCACAACTACCATATGATTTCACTTATATGTGGACTCCAGGGAACAAAATAAACTTAACAAAGAGGAAACATACTCATGGATACAGAAAACAGACTGACGGCTGTCAGAGGGGAGGAGGTTGTGGACTGAGTGAGAAGGGTAAAGGGATTAAGCAAAGACTCATGGACACAGGCAACAATATGGTGATTGCCAGAGAGGAGTGGGTGTGTGTGGGCAGGTAGAAGAGAGTAAAGGCAGGGGGGTAAATGGTGAGGGAAGGAAGGAGACTTGACTTGGATGGTAAACACACAATACAGTATATACAGATGACATATTATAGAATTGTGTGCCTGAAACCTATATAATTTATCAACCAATATCAGCCCAATAAATTTAATAAAAAACAAAAAATTTAAAATACGCTTTTAACAGTGGGAACAAAGAAGGTTGGACTCGCTGTAATGCAACAACCTGATGGATCATTAGCCATCTCTGCAAAAGAGTGGTTCTTCGTTTAATTAAACTTTATTGCTATAGTTCTTTCACAGGGAAGATACCTTTTAAATAAGGTAGACTGTATTTTAAGAACTCACTATGGGTGTCAAAGATTGTTCTTAGTTTATAGGTAACCTTTATTCGGTTCTAAGACTTGGTCCTTTTCATGTGAGCAGAAGTGATTCCCTGTGTTTGAGTTAGCAACTATTCTTGTTCTACCAGAGGTAAAACCTAAAATGTCCCTCTCTTCCACAGCTGAACATCCTGACTTGTGGATTCATTGGCTCCTATTCGGTGGTCTTGGCCATTGACAGTTACATGTACACAAGTCTTTCTTACATCGCTTTGAATGTACTCAAGAGAGCACTCAGCCCTCACTTCCGCAGAGCTTTCACAAATGTGCCTTTTCAAACTAATGGTAAGACCCTAAATCCAAGAATCGGAGTGGTAGTTAAGAACATTGGCTCACCTGTGCTAACAGAAGCACCTGGTAACAGAATGAAAGAAGGTGAACTGGAGAAAAGAAAGTTAAACTGGACACAAAGACGAAACAAACCATTCAAATGCTGTTAATAACTTATAGACATAGAAGCAAAGAATTTAAATTTGTTAGGTGGTTAAAGTTCATACTTCTAAAAACCTACTAAATGAACTTCGTTAAGAAATTTCTAAGTCAGGATTACTTAGGCTTACCTGGTCAATTCCTAGATGTGAAGAAAATGCTGGGAATAAAAATGGGTTGGGTTGGGATGAGGGATGAGAATGGCAACCTGTTTTGTTTTTTTAGGTTATTCCATTAGGTTATTACATGCTCTTTTAAAAAAGCATGTAATTTGCAAATAGAAAGTGAAAGTGGTTTTTAGTCAGTAAGTATATTATTTCCTTAGTTGTAGGATTTCTACCCATTACAGATTTTCCATTTATTTTTTGGAGGAAAAAAGACGATTAAATTAAATGGTCACAAAGATTGTAAGATATGTTGGTTTCAGAAATGTTAAAACATGGTGGATGGAAAAATATGTCTTAGAACTAAAGGTATATAAGCACAAATATTCCCTTCTACTGTCCTGAGCCTGCCCCCTCATTGGATAAGAGGATGATGGTAGAGACCTTAAAATCCACATGTCTTGGAAGTTTTATGTACCAGACACTATTTTGCCTCGCCTTTTACTAGTACAACTTGTTGCATCTCTTCCTGCATTTCTACTGGCCCTCTATGTGAGTGGGTGACGAATGGGGAAGAGAGAGAGCAAGCATGGCGGCGTGCAGTGTTCCAGGATGTACGTTTGTGAGGTTTACCTAGAATGCTGCCTTCTTCCCCAGCCGTGTTGTGGAAGACACAACAAACTACTGTGCCTGCGGCCACTGGTCATAAGCTATTGGAACGTGAAGGACCCAAACTACTGGTTCCTTTATAAGCTGTCTGGACTTTGATAAGACTGTAATAGAAAATTCCTATTTTCAAATATAAGATTATAGTTTCTTCACTCATTCCTTGGTTTGTAAGTAAGGAAATAACATATGTTTGGACAAACTCACCACAAAGACTAATATTTACTAAAAAAAAAAAAAAAAAAAAAAAGATGACATAGATTTAGGCTATGAAAGGTTACATGTTAGATCTGCTTGGGTTTGCAATACAAGTTCCAACAGGGCTCTCCTGTTTTTTAGACTTTATCATCCTGGCGGTATGGGGCATGCTGGCCGTAAGTGGAATTACGCTGCAGATTCGGAGAGAAAGGGGGCGACCGTGTTTCCCTCCCCACCCGTACAAGTTATGGAAACGAGAGAGGGAACGCAGAGTGACCAACATTCTGGATCCCAGCTACCACATCCCTCCGTTGAGAGAGAGGCTCTATGGCCGATTAACCCAGATCCGAGAGCTCTTCCAGAAGCAGCAGCCGGCCGGAGAGAGAACACCCCTGCTGCTGTAGATGCCAGCGGGCTGGGTTAGTGTGGGCCTGAAGGACACAGGCACTGCCTCAGCGTTGGTGTCTGGGCCCAGCGTGCTTCGGCAGTCTCCAGTGCAAGTCTAGTAAGAAAACAGGCTTGTGTATCTATGTGCGATGTCCTTACCGATGCATGGCAAGGATGTGCCAAGGAGATTATAATTCTAAGTCAGTGTTTCCCAGGGGTACGGGAAGAGTTTGGTGGGGATATGCACTGCACCGTGCTTAGCTGCACCCAATTCTACGTTCTCATAAGTACGAGGGGTACTCAGCATTACAAAAAGTATAGAAGGGGTACACATGTCAAAAGTTTGGGAAACACTGTTCTAAGTGATGAAAAAGATGACCAAAAAATTGGTGATAGGGAAGCTTTTCCTTATTCCAAAATACTTGAGAAATTACCTCTTTGTTTACATGATCGATTTATTCCATTAAAGAGATATACACACATACACACAAATTTTTAAAAAAAACCTGATTATCATGTAAAGCCCTGGTGTTTTCTTTTCACAAGTCTGAAAATTTCTCACACTTTAGTCCATCTAAACCTGGGGGGAACGGGGAGGCTGGGGCACAGAGCGTGGTTTAAATGTTAGAGTGATTTTTTTTTTTTTTTGCTATTGTTTAGATTTCGGGATTTAATACTGGATCTTTGAACTTCTGAGTACAAAAGAAGGAGAACTAATTTAAAAACAGTCTGATTACTTAATTGCATCTTTCACAGTATCATATAGTAATAAAAGGTGTCCTTCTTTTGCTTATTTTTGTGATAAAAAACACATTTACCATATCATTTTAAATGTATAGTTTAGTCGATACCGTTGTTTTGTGTTTAAAATGGTAATATAAGTAGCTAAGTTATTTCAATTTGAAAACAGATCAAATTTATGTAGATAACAGAACTCTTATATGGATGATTAATTTATATTCCAAATAATGGCCTATTTTTTTTTTCTGGCCCTTTAAAAATAGCTAATCTCTAATTTAAACTATATTGTGACATTTTTGTTTCGTTAATCTTTACCTGCATTTTGTAGTTCTGCTAAATTAGTTATTAGCATTGATGTAAAAATACAATTTTAAAAAATCTCTATATGAAGCCCTTTGTACATCTGTGTTTTAAAGTGATGAGGAAGTCAAAGCACTCAGTGTCTAATGGATCTACTTTTGAAATAGAGACTTGGCATTTCTAAGGAAAGTCCCTTCAGTTTTAACCACTCCCCCCCCCCCCCCCCCCCCATCATGAGAATGTAACCTGGGTGCCCTGGGCTGCATACCTGTGCCTCATGGCCTTTTCTCTTAACTGCCAGAGCCTCTGTCACTGGCTCTGCCTGGGACTCTTGACATGCCTGAGTGACAGGATGGTTGTGTGCATATTTGTGAGTTAGCCACCATTTGAAATGCTGCTGCTTTAAAGAGATTTTTCAAAGCACAATTGATTTTTGAAATTTCAGATAGCTGGAAAATTTTCAACTTTTATTAATACTTTTGAAAGTATCTTTGAAATGATTTATTCTGAAATCCACACTATTTATATAAATGCAGTAACACAAACTGGAAATTTTTTTTTATAATTCACCGTAGGGATTCTGACTTCTGCCATACTTTGGTACATTCTACGAAATGTTTTTGAGTTATTTTCTATACCAGTGTTTGGCAAACCGCGGCTCACGAGCTCTTTGGCCCCTTGAGTGTTCTAATGCCACTTCTTCAAAAGAGACTTGCCCAGGCTGAAAACCGACTTCTGGGCCATAAAGTTTTAATCGCACTCCATGTGTGCGCCCGCATGTGGTGTTTTCTGGAAGAGCCACACTCAAGGGGCCAAAGAGCTGCAGTGGCTTGTGAGCCGGGGTTTGCTGACCAGTGTTCTATACCATCAAAACGCACTGCCAGTGAAGATTGTAGACACCACAGACTTTTTTGGAGGGGGATGCAAATTGTTAAAATTTATGTTAATTTGTAATAAAAAGCTCGTTTGTACAATTTTTTAATAATAAATTCCTATTTTGAAAAATTGCTTAAGTTTCATTATTATAAAATGTTTTTGCCAACTATCTGTACCATAGTAACAAGACATAGGACAGTTTCATAACTATAAAAACAACTAATTAAAAAATTATTTAAAGAATCGGTTTAAGCACAAATGAAATAAGAAATGAAGGAAATCTGGGGCAAGCTAATGTCTTTAGTGGATCAGTTCATTAGAACTTAAGGTTTGTCAAACTGAAGGAAAATAATAATATTGGAAAAGTACTGTCCTTTAATGTTTTGTTTCTGATAGCCTGTTATAGGCTACCTACCCTGTTTCTAAACCACAGTAGCTCACTAGTGCTAAAGATCAGCTGAGTTCCATAGAAGATGATAGTAAACTGATTCTATAGAAGATGGTAGATTCCATAGAAGATGATAGTAAACTGATTCTAATAACAAAGAAATTTCTGAATATTAGACCACAAATGGACATTATTTTTTTTTTAAGGATATTTTTATTTCAGAGAGGAAGAATAGAGAAACATCAATGAGAAAGAATCACTGACCGGGTGTCTCCTACACGCCCCCTACTGGGGATCAAGCTGGCAACCCAGGCATGTGCCCTGACCAGGAAGCCAACAGTGGTCTCCGTTTTTTTATTTTATTTTATTTTTAGAAAAATCTCTATTGTTCAAAATATTACATAAGTCCTCCTTTTCCTCCCAGTCTCTTCCAGCCCGCTCCCGTTCTCCACCCCCCTCCAGGCCCTCACCACGGGTTATGCATATACGTATAAGTTCATTGCAAACTGATCTTTTGGTTCATAGGTCGATGCTCAACCACTGAGTCACACTGGCTGGGCAGGAATGAACTTCAGAAATCATGTTATCTGAACCCTTTATTTTATCGTATCATAATTACTTTGATTTTGTGGTGAGAATAATTATTAAGTCCTTGACGAAGGAGCCAATTATATGAAGTTATGAAATAGTGCCCAGACCAAAATTTGGGATGCCTGACTCCCTTTCCAAATGTGCTGTTGCTCTATCATAAAATGTAATCATTGATTACTTCCCATTTTTCTCTGGTGAACTGGTAGGAGGCTTCTAATATTAATATTGCAATGATCTCCTTTTTTTGGGTGGTGGGCGTTATTTTTTTCTTTCCAAGCTAATTCTTTGAGGTCCTATGTTATTCACTTCAAAGAAAGTTACACTAAAAAACAAAACTTAATACCCATACTTATCTCCACAGCAGCATTTGTATAAAATGTTTTAGTATAAAGTTCACTCCTTGATGATATATTTGATACCTGTTATTAAATATCATTAAAACCCCAAGAAGAGATAAAAAAACCCTACAAATAAATGTAAGCATTATTTTCAAATTAACTTGGAGCGCACACCAATTTCAATCACTCATCTTTATTGATAAAATAGGCTCCTATGCACTACATACCTTCAGAATGAATGAAAGGTTCTGCTTAACAAAAAAGTATGGGGTGGAAAACTTTCTATATAACAAAGTAAATGTCTTTAAATAGCAAGATCTTAGAATTATATCCAAGTAAGAAGACTAAGAATAAATTAATTCAACTTATTGGTTTACAAAAATAATTATCAAGTAATGTTTTATAATAGAGCTGCCTCAATAAACTGCCTCAGACATTTTGAACTATGTAGCTTATTTTCTTTAATTCTAACTTGGGATAAAAACTATATGAATGAATGTGTCATCAAATTAAGGAATACTTTCCCAAAAAACAAATAGAAAAGTTAAAAAATAAAAGCCGTCATTTATTTATAAAACATTAAGGCCTCTGAATGAGAACAAAAAATCAATTTAATGTTTGGGTCAATAGCCCTTTTCTATTCCACCAGCCCCATCAATCCCACTTACCCCAAACTTCAGATAGAAAAATTCTGAAAAGTAGTTTTAACTTTACCAATATATGAAATTATAGATAAAAATTATCATGTAAATATTTAACAAATTTATACTCAAAAGTAAGTTGTCTATTTTGCTAATTTTAATATGTATTTAATATAAATGAGCATAATATATATCTGACACTTCTTTGATCCTTTTATTCTGTAATCACCAAAAATAAGAAAAAAATTATATTTCAATTGATAATGCACATTTTATTTTTGATGGCTTTTAAAAATTTACATAATGGATATATATTTTATTTAAAAAAATAAAACAAATACTCCTAACTCCACCATTTTTTTTGTCCCTCTTTAATTGGAAAGTTATAAGAAAAATCTCATAGGTTATGAGGACCACACAGGTGCTTTAAGAACAGATCCAGAAATTATTTTTTTAATTTTAATTTACTTTTTCTATCTCTCTTAACAGTTACTTTTAAAAAAGGACTCAATGAGGCAGAGGATGTCCCAACTTACTTTGAAATAACCATACATAGCTTGCTTTACCAAACATTTCAACTTTTAGCTAAATGAGCTACCTAGTATCCTTAAATATCAACCACATAAGAGAAAAATCTCCTCATTAATGATTTAAAACCAAAACTTATTCTTTCAGAGTAGTTTAACCTACTAAATATGTCTCTTAAAAGATCTTCTTTCTTAGAAAGTAGTAGTTCTTTTCTTTCATTCCTGAAATGCTATCTCATATGCTTAGCAATTATGGACAATTGTTTGCTGAATATTATGGTAAGTTAGCTAAAATTAAATTACCTCTTTTGTTTATGGTGTATATAAGACATTCCTACAGCTTTTCAAACTGATTTTTTTTGGGGGGGACAAGAATTTAAATTAATGGGAAGGTAGATAGGCAATCATTAAAGACTCATGGTACATAAGCTATCTGTTAACTTTGACACCAAACAGAGAGGATAAAACTTAGTATGATGATCTTCCATTTACCAAACTGTGGCAAAATGTGTATTTTAAAATTGGGATAACTTCTTGAATTCCCACACATTTACTGGGAATATTCCTGTTTTTCCAAGTATCATCGGGAAAGCCAACAGCACTACTGGAAGCTCT